TGATACAAAGGTTATCTTATTTGTTAAATTTTATTTCTCAAAGAATCGTTATGAGTCAATTAGAATAAATTTTTCTCTAAGACCTACATTTTGTCATTAATTACGGATAGTCTCACGATAAAATGCATTGCTTATCGAAATCTATAAGCAAATGATAAGAAAAAACTTTCTCAATATTCATTATTTTAATTCTTTAGATAAAGATAAACCCTGAAAGAGATTATACTGATTAAGGAAGACACAATAATAAGATAATTTATGATAATCGAGACACTGCAGAATCAGAGTATAGTGTTAACGTAGTTCAAGCTTGACATCACGTATTTCAATTTCTTTTGTACAACGTAAAATCGAAAATATTATAATAAAATGTTATTGTATAAGCATCATTTAATCTAATTTTCAATTATCTCGTCCCATATATGATTTGAAAAAAAATTTTTTTTTTCAATTCTATAAATACGAATTAAGCAACGAACTCACCCAGTGAATATTTGTTATTTGTAAGTGTGCTTATGAAAGTAAAAAATTTTCTGCACTAAAAATGATTGAACACATCCTATAACATCGAAAACTAGCTTTGGCATTTACAAATCGAAAAATTTGGGGCTGTAAGTTTTTAACTACAATTTATAAGTAGTCAAGTAATTTTTGTCGGTTTTCATTTGAACTCAGAGTAAGATAAATCCTTCATCATTTACTTTGAAAACAAAAACATTTAGTATAAAATTTATACTTTGAAAAATAATTTTTTGTAAAGATTACATGAAACGATTTTTTCGACATTAAAAAATATTTATAAAAATAAACGTATACTTTGAAACCGTGGCAAAATGTAAGAACTGTAAATTTAACTGTAGTGAACAATAAAAAAAAATCTGATTTGTTAGACAAAAGATTCCACACAAAACAAAATTTCAAAGAAATAACAAGCAACAAGTTTTTGAAAATACATTAGAAAATCAATTTAACTTAAACAAAATGTTACTATTGAAATAAAAAGCTTTTGTTATTAAGCTAAAACCGTCATCTTCCATTTGAATTTTATTAAATAATGTCAAATTTTAAATAGTTAAAAAGCAAATAAAAACTATTTTTTAATTGAAAGATACATTACTACTTAAGAATAAGTATTTTTTTCTCAAAATTGTTTTAATTATCAAGGTAAAAAAAGTCATACACTTTTATAAATTAAAAAAATCGTATGTTACTCACGATTCTATTTTCAATTCGAAAAATTATATCATACGAACTACTTCCATTGAATCGTGTCAAGTATCAATTGCATTCACACACAATGTGTAACGTCGAATGATCAATTTAATGATTCTAAGAATTCGCAACGACTTAATTAGATTAAAACTTTGAGATATTGAGTAATATTAATTAAAAACTTATATTAGGTGTATGTTTTCTTTTTAAATGGTATGAAACTGATGTATTTTATTTAATATACATTTTTACTTGAAATTTTATATAAAATATTATAAACTCGTATTAAGTAGCTAAAGCTGTTACTTTAACTTGAGAAAAAAAATAAAAAACTGTAAGCTAATATAACATCAAGAGTGAAACTAACATTTTGAAGTAGAATCGAGAGTACGCTTCAAAGATCAATCCAAATCAAAGATACACCAATAGAAGCGCGATAATTTCCAATTTAAAAATTGAACGGGTCACTAAATTCTCTCCTACATCCATCCTATTATTCGTACTGAATTTTATTTTGGAACTTGTGTAACGAAAAGCAGGAAATTTTAGTAGAAATCTTTTTTTTTCTTCATCATAATTCGTCATGAAATCGAAGAAAACATTCTTATAACTGTTAAATGTATTTTTATTAAAAAAACACATATTTACAACAAATTATGGTCCTTCAGAAAGGAAATTTGTCTCGAGTTAATGAATTTTAGTTTTCTTGAATAAACTTCTTTTAATTTCGAAACGACTAAAGTTATATGATAACATGAATAATCATACACGTAAATTCTAGGCCTAGGTTAAATTTGTAAAACACACGTACTAATATTAATTTAAATATTGCAATATTGCCTTGTTTTCTACAATTTTTTCAGTAAAGGCACTCCAAGTTTTGAAAGTCTGTCTTTCCACTTGAAACGGAGAGATAAACTCTAATCACTGTGTGCCTAGTGCCACGACAAGTGTTCGCCAAGGGAGCCCTAAAATTCGCTGAAATACGTATACACACCTCACGTACTTATAAATATATATAATAGAAAAGTACACGGAGAGGGAATTTACGGGTTTATCGCATGGAGGGTATCTGGCTGTTAGCGCATGCAGCTCCCCATGCGTCTAAAACGCGAAGCTGACGCGCTGGATACCAGACAGTGCTTGTGTTAAGGCCCGTAGAGTGTTACATGCTATCAACACATGTGAGTACACGGCTGCGAACCAAGAAAAGCCGTAGCCGAAACTCATCGACTATGTCCGAGCTGAAAACGCAAGGAGCATGATGGGTTTAACGCATCATGCTCCTTGCGTTTTGGGTATCAGCTGATAGTTGGCGGCGTTGGCACGAGGCGCGAGCGCCTATATATATATGCTATATATGTATATATACATATAAATATGTATACATTTAACGCTGTTTCTGTTCTTTTAAGTATTACATATGAGAATGTGTTACAAGTATGAACTTTAAACGCTATGCAAGTTTTAGAAAGGAAAAAAAAAATTTTAATTAATGTAACAAAATAAAAAATTGTATAATACAGGAAGTTTTTACTTTCTTTTTTTCTTGCTTGTTTCTGCTGCATGTAATGAAGGAAAAATAAATTAATCGACTATTATTTTGTGCATAGCATTAAAAATTTATTTGTCGTTATCCAAATAAATACTATAAATGCGCATACATTGATATATGAATGAATCTTATTAAATCTTATACGACTCACAAATCATAACGAGTCGAGATAAACTGTTTGTCTCTTATTCTAACAAGAAAACAAGGAGATGTCCTTAAAAATTTTTCTATTGGAATCAGTACATCAGTTTCGCTCATGTTAGGCCCAACGCAGTATGCTTGAAAGTGTTGTACCAATTGTTTATACTTTATGTAAAACATGCAAGGTAATGATGATAATACAATAAGAAGCAAACCATTGGAAGATAACGAAGGTTGTACAAGTGATTCTGAAAAGTCTCCTGCTTGTTGTTGAAAATTATCCATAACCAAAGTCTAACATGCAAGACTTTAAGACTTTGTAGTGAATTAAATATCTTGAGTGCTTATGAACGGAGACAATTCAGTAAATTAGAAATCATGTGCACAGGGTCCTATATCAATCAAACATAACATAATTGTAAGTGTCAAACCGATACACCAACAGATTATTTCTAAAGAGCTGTCGACGTACTCAAAATGTACGTTTGCGTTTCTGACACAAGATAAGTGTTGTTGCAATAAGATATTTTTTAATAAATATTTGACAAATAAATTATTACTGCCTATTCTAACGTACATATATGTATATTTATATATATACATATATGTGTGTAAACTTATTTCTGATGTTTTTGGTTAGAAATACCACAACATTGAAAATTTTGTGCGAATGCATCATCTTTATATACTTACGTACCAAATTAAATGATTTGCGATGAGATGCATAAGCTAGCTGTTACACCGTTTGTCACTCGTACACAATGCACATCTCGAAATTGCTGCACTTAGTATTTGGAAAGGCTATGAGAATATTGAGAATCATATATACATAACGTGTATACGTATACGTATATAGCAGACTCTTGCGCCAACCATCAGCTGATACCCAAAACGCAAGGAGCATGATGCGTTAAACCCATCATGCTCCTTGCGTTTTCAGCTCGGACATAGTCGATGAGTTTCGGCTACGGCTTTTCTTGGTTCGCAGCCGTGTACTCACATGTGTTGATAGCATGTAACACTCTACGGGCCTTAACACAAGCACTGGCTGGCATCCAGCGCATCAGCTTCGCGTTTTAGACGCATGGGGAGCTGCATGCGCTAACAGCCAGATACCCTCCATGCGATAAACCCGTGAATTCCCTCTCCGTGTACTATCTACTTTGTTGGAGCTGAAAAATTTTGAAAAGTCTCTCTCCCACTACTTTGACACACGCCGCATAGCACGCCCTCTCGATTTCTTTTCTTACGTAGCAACTAAGAGTATACAGTAATACAATCGCGGTGCTCGTGAGAGACTTCAGTTGGACGCTTGTGGGTCGTTAGAACGCACGTAAATATACTTATGTACGTGCGAACTATCGGGACGGCTCGATTGGTTTGACTTGCATCATAAATTCTAAAACTTCGTCCTGCAGTTACTGAATACCATCAGTCGTTTTGGTATATTCGATACCACGAGGTGCCACTTGACTCTTTCAGTTGGTTAACATTTTATTCGTTAAGTACTTCTGTTTGAACAATTTTGTAAAACGTACTTTTGTTGGATCGATAGTTTTGTGATAAACAACTGTCGACAATGGACGTTAATTGGGATAAAGCGGTAAGCCATGTAAATTTATTTTAATGATTAGAATTCAAGGTACGAAATAGATTATTTTAATAACATAAAAATGTATTTTTTAATTACAATTTCAATAAAATTTGTTTTTAGCCATTACTAACGTACTCGTTTAAAATAAAATTTTTTATCAATACCAAGTAAATCGTATTTGAATTTATCTCGAAAAACATTAAGCAGAAAATTTTTATTAATAAATATGCACAAGTATACATCTAATACGCATCTAATCAAATGGTTTACAAACTATGAACAAGTCATCGTTAACATTTAGGTGAAAGTTGCGTTTGTTTGTACACTACAAATACATAAGCGTAGAGTAAATAGAGAAATAGAGATGTTAATTAAATACGCCCGGAAAATTTAATTTACCTAATTTTCAAATGATTTTATACACTTCGTTAAAAATTATAGTCAACAATCGTATAAGACGCGCCGTGTAAGCGATGGTGAAAATTACCGAATTAGTAAGATCATTTAAAGGTAAAAACATTAGACAGAAAATGCATTAGATGGGTAGTATGTGAAATATCAACTGTTAATTTTGGTGATTTTTAGGTGATTGCATTCACATTTGCCAAAGCTTTAATTTAATTCGACGAGTAACATCAATTAAAAGCACGAGTGTCATTTTAATCGATAATGGGCGCACAAATCACCCGAAATTAACATAGATTAGATTACACGTTGGAACGAGTGAAAAATCAACACAAATTGAAAGGGATACTCTAAGGTTGATGAGTTTTAGAAATTATAGCAACAACCACCTGTTTTCACGCGAATCTGCATCGAATCCCATAAAAGCAGGCAGTCCAAGTGTTGACATTGCGGGACATTCGAATTTCGTCGACGCGAACACGCAAACCTATACCCAAAATCATTTACATTGTCATCCGTAAAATTAAATTAAATATTAGCATCCTCGATCGCTGCACCTAGCCCGATAAGATAACCCGAATCGTACTTTGATGTTTCTTATCCAACATTGTTTTTAATGTATTGAATATCCGAATTTTGAACAGCCTTTGATAACGATGCTTCGTATTGCTGCAATTAAACGACATCGTCAAGCCTTTCAAAGCCCCATCAAGAGAGTGACCATAAAGAAAACAATCGAGCGCAGAAAAAAAAAAAGAAATTCCTCTTAGCTTGCAGGAGGAAAAAAAAAGAAGATATTAAGTACCCCTCGATTCATCTTTGTGTATTTTTATGTGAATTTCGCTGACGCAGCTGAATAGGTTGCGAACAATGCGGCTGCAGGGCCTGTACAGAGCGACGACGCGCAAGAAGTGCATAGACGAGCAATCGGACTCGTCGCTGGTGCGATGCTTCTCGGCGCTGGACTTGACGGCCCTCGGGATCGGCTCGAGTCTCGGGGTCGGTGTCTACGTGCTCGTCGGCAACGTCGCCAAGACCATGACCGGACCGGCGGTCATCATATCATTCGCCATAGCCGCTGTCGTCTCCATGATCGCAGGTAAGATTTTTTTTTTCTCTCGCTCGAAGATGGTAAGTATTTTTCACGCGCGCGGAAACGACGAGCGCCGAGTTATTCTTCGCGCTCTTGCGATGCGCTTGGCACTATTAATAGGCCCGGGAAACCAAAAGGTATATATCTGACACAGTTTTGGGTAGGCTCGTGCGAGTGGCGAGTCCATATTGAATTTTTCACCGGTGATCCGAGTTTTTTTTGCCAAAGTCTCCCGGCTGGAAAAACTTTGGGAAGTTCCGGGAAATTCGAACCCTTCGGTTAGCTTTAATTTTCGTATCGCTCATTTGACGAATTTCGGTTGATTATTTAACCATACGTGAAAATAATTAAAAACCACCGAGTGGCTTCGTTAGTTGATTTCGGCGATTTTCGCTTTATTTTCAGAAGAGAGCGGCTAATAGGTTTTTAATGACAATCGGTATCTCGAGTTATTTGAGCATATATGCGAGCTTTTTCCGACGAAAATTTTTGTAAAAGTCCAGTAATTTATTTTATGAAACGAGCAACTCTCTTCCAAGCACTATACGCGCGTGATTGAAGTTTTCCTAATTGACGCGATAACACTTACTTCAAATAGCCACCAAAAGAGTCCTTTGTGATTGCCCTGACAGGGCGAAAACGGCATTTTATGATTAATATTACGGTTTGGTCGCACCAAATCTTCACGAAATTTCATAATACATCTACCTAAACTACTAAAATGAACAAAACTAAAGAATATCCAAGATTTCATGCGCATTGCGACAACTCGTGCGAAGAGATCACGTTAGTGCGTAAAATTGAATTTTAAGCCCGGCCTGCTTGAGGTACCATTTTTGCAAACTCTTACTAATGTCCATACTAAATGTTCACAGGTGGAAGAAAAAAAAAAAAAAAAAAAAAAAACAAGCTTAATGCACGAACCACGTCTGTTCACTAGGTCTGTGTTACGCGGAATTTGCAGCCCGTGTCCCGAAAGCGGGCTCGGCTTACGTGTACAGCTACGTGACGATCGGCGAGTTCATGGCCTTCGTGATCGGCTGGATCCTGATACTCGAGTACATCATAGGCTCGGCGAGCGTCGTCAGGGGCCTGAGCAAGTACGTCGACGCGCTCTTCAACAACTCCATGAGCCTCTTGTTCCAAGCAGCCGCCCCGATGAACATATCACACTTTTCCCAGTACCCCGACTTTTTCGCGTTTGGCGTTACGCTCGTTTTTTCCGGTTGGTACATACAATAACGCACGTGGGCTCGATTAATCCCACATTTCGTACACACACGCAATAACGCCCACGATTTCTCAAACGGTTTTCAGGTGCACTGGCGTGCGGAGCCAAGGAATCGTCCACGGCTAACAACATATTTACCCTGGTCAATCTCAGCGTCGTACTGTTTGTCATAGTGTCAGGAGCAATCAAAGGTGGGTGATCGTTGCAATAGCGAACATAAATACATGGTGCCTATGTGATACATACCTCGGATCTCCGTCGTTTCCACAGCCGATTTTAAGAACTGGAAGATCAAGCCGAACTGCCAGACCGAAATTTGTAGGAAGGAGAAGGGCGAGGGGGGCTTCATGCCCTTCGGCATAGCGGGTGTGATAAGCGGCGCGGCCACGTGCTTCTACGGGTTCATCGGGTTCGACTGCGTGGCGACGACGAGCGAGGAGGCCAAGAACCCCAAGCGCGACATACCGATCGCCATCATCGCCTCGCTGACGGTCGTCTTCCTGGCTTACTTCAGCATATCCACGATCCTGACCACGGTGCTGCCGTATTACGATCAGGACACGGACGCGCCCTTTCCCTACATGTTCAAGGTCATCGGCTGGGACTGGGCCAGATACGTCGTCACGGCTGGTGCCATATGCGCCCTGTGTGCTAGGTAACAACCATTCTCGACGTCAAGCACTCGCGTTGCGAAACAATGCGACGGATTTTTTATCGGCAATGTAATACGAGAGCTCATTTCTGGTTTTTTCTTTTCTTCCTCAGTTTGATGGGGTCGATGTATCCGCTGCCGAGGATCATCTACGCCATGGCGTCCGATGGATTGATATTCAAGTCGATGGGCAAGATACACTCGCGCTTTCATACCCCGGTCATTGGCACCCTGTCGTCCGGACTCTTGACTGGTATTGCTATATATTTTCAATCATGTATTCCCTTGTCCTTCCAATGGCTGAAAAAATTAATTTTTTATTACAAGCACGTACTTTTGTGCAGATAAAAGATACGTTTTGATACAAAGGTATTTAACTTTTTTTTTTCTTTTCCAAAGGAATTTTAGCGGCAATCTTCGATCTGGATGAGCTAATTGGGTTGATGAACATTGGCGTGTTCATAACGTATTCCATCGTAGCTGCTTGTGTAGTTATACTGAGGTACGTGCATTTCAAACACTTGGCGCGCACGAGTCTTGGGCGCAAAAATATAACTGCCATATGAATTTCAGGTACGAAGAAAGTAATTCTTTTGAGAAGAAGCAGGACATTGAGTCGTATTCCCTGCTCTCGGTTATGAGTCAACTCGTCAATTTTAAAAGACTGAACTACTCGACCAAGCTCACCTCTAAAATAGTAACTTATTTAGTACCTGTTTACTGTAAGTTGACAACTATACTGTTTCACTCAATTTGTAAACGTGTTTAGTCTTTAAGTTAAATTTTTTGGTCTTTTGTATTTTTTTTAGTTGTCATTTGCTTTGGCGTGAGTTTACTTTACTCGACTTATGATGATGAAATCAAACACGGAAATTTGTTATTCGTGATACCACTGACAGTACTTGTATTTTTTCTAGTATCTATTCTATTTTTCATCTATCTACAACCAAAATGTGATAGACACCTTAGTTTTAAGGTAAATTTTACACTTGATCGATAATTTTTAGTATGGAAGATTTCATTGAAAAAATTAATCTCGTTTTGATTGTTTGGTAGTAAATTTTTATTTTGATTTTCAGGTCCCATTTGTTCCTTTCTTACCAGCAATAAGTATATTGTTCAATGTTTATTTAATGGTAAATATTAAGATGCGAACGTGGATTGAATTTTTCGTGTGGATGGCAGCTGGTAAATTCAATAATAAGAATTAACTTAAAATATAGATTTTTAGAATAATATTAACTTAATTTCAGGATTTTGTATATACTTTTTGTATGGCATTTGGAATAGTAACATGAATACAGCGAAGAAAACTGAAAAGGACAATTTAAAAAATGGCGATCTACCAAAGTTCTAAGTATACAACTATAAAGAAGTATTATGTGCAAGTTGCAACTTTTTTATACATCAAAAATCGCACGTTTGTATAAAAATGCTTTTTATCCACGCGAGGGAATGTAGTAATAAACTTTACTTAAATAACTTACTTTAAAAACCTAAAAATTGTTAGTTAATAAATATACTTAATTAACATCTAAGAAAACAATAACTTGAGATCATCAAGCGTTAGTTTTGCAGACGTTGATTTCGTTCCAGTTAACACATATTCTGCACACTCTAATTTCCTTTCTTGTAATACTCTTATTCTTTCTTCGATTGTATCTTTGCAAAAGAATCTAAAAAACGAAATAGCACTTTTAAATCAAGAAAATAATTGCACTTGAGAACAATAAGTAATTAATTAACTTACTTGTAAATGAAGACATTTTTTTTCTGACCAAATCGATATACGCGATCTTGAGCTTGTGATTCTAATTGTGGATTCCAGTGAAGATCGATAAGAAGCACGTGATTCGCTCCAACTAGATTTAGACCAACACCACCAGCAGTTAGTGACAAAAATAAAACGTTTACCCCACTACGTGGACTGTTGAATTCATCAACAATTTGCTGAATTATGAAAAAATACAAATTTCAATGTTGAAACATATTTTTTTTTAGTTTTCTATTGTGTATATTTTTTATGAAAATAAAAACTTTTGTACAAAAATATTCCTTACCTGTCTATCCTTTATTGCGACTTCTCCGGTGAACATTTTATACTTGACATCTTCACAATTTACAAGATTTTGAGCTACCACCTTGAGAAATTCAGTCCATTGCGATACTACTATTAGCTTATCTCCTTTTTCCAAAACTTCCTTAATTTTTTTCAAGACCGCGCGCACTTTGGAACTGCGTCGATTATTGCTAAAAACCGGATTGTTCTTTGTCAAGAGATTAGTTGCAATTTTCGTATCGAATTTATAATTGGCAGCATCCTCATCGACGTTTTCATCCTCCTTGATCGACATATTCTGAAGTTGCTGCAATATATCCTCGTTCAAGTTTTCCGCATCCTCGATACCGTTCAATTCGGCGTCCATTCGATCTAGCATCTTGTGAATCAAAGCCGGGTGACAACACATCTGCCGCAGTCGCAATAGTAGAACTAAGATTTCGTGAGACTCGATTTGTTGGGAGTGATGTTGCAGCAGTATTTTTTGAGCCTTGGTAAAATGCGAGACGCTACCTATATTAAACAAGTAAATAGTCAGAGTTAGATATTTTCGAAATAAATAATAAAATTAAATTATTAAAAGTCAAAGCGTACCTAAAGGCGATTTTTTATCAAATTTTCCTCCATACAATTCTTTCATATGGTGTTTCTCCGCGCGTTGTGCCAAAAATTGAGCAAACAAGTTTTGCGAAAACATTAGAATCTTTTGGTACACCAAGTTTTCGTCACGATCCATCTCGATTTCAATAGTCTCGAAAAACTTTTCAGGCAAGGACTCGAGGGCGCCCTTAGCCATCAGTTCTTTCTTCGTACGACGCAACATCAACGTCTTCATGAGCGTAATCAGTCTCTGCTTGCCAGCATCGTTTTTGTTTTCAACCCACCGTTTCCACACTTGCAGATCATCGAAAGGCGAACACTGCAGAAACTTGAGAATAGCGTACAAGTCTGCCTCTTTATTTTGTATGGGCGTTCCGGTCAGGGCCCATCTGCGCCTTGCACTTACACCGCACGCTGCTATGCTGGCTTGACTTTTGTGATTTCTTATGATATGAGCTTCATCGAGAATAGCTCTACTCCATTCCATCTGAAAGGACATTGATACATTACTTTGGGAAACTTATTCATACTCATGAAAACCATACTTTGTAAAAACTCGTTTCTTTTGCAGCTTCTCTAACTAAAGTCTGGTACGTCGTTATGACTATGTTATATTTAGACAATTTTCTTTCGTCCATTTGTCTGTTGCATCCATGAAATACCAAGACTGATAAGAGACCTCTTTTAACGCGTTTTTTCACTTCTGACTCCCACTGATTGATCAAAGAAGCTGGGCATACAACCAAAGTGCCACCGTAGTATCCTAGTTGAAACAAAATAAAAATATCAGACCACAAAAATACCGAGTGCGTCGCAAATAAACTTTTGTCAAAATCTCAATTCAAAACGTACTTTTGTGTAACTTTCGCGGATACCAGTCGTCATCACTACTGGAATCGCTATCTCTTTCTTTGTCAGTATCCACATTGGCCAAAACCAATGATATCATAGTTAAAGTCTTTCCCAAACCCATATCATCAGCTATTAGGACAAAAAATATGTATATTTTATCATCTCGGGTTTAAGAGTAAATCTCAACAATGTATCCTACCAAGAATTCCACCCTTTGGCTTTTGATTTTCTCTCCACTTCATCCAAGCTAATGCATGTTGTTGATGGGCCATCAAAGGAATATTCAAACCTTTAGGATCTTTATCTCTTTGGTCTTCCGAAGGACGTGATGTTAAAGAACCGTGAAGTAGCTCCAATCTTTGATTAGTTAGTGACTGTTGTTTGTTCAAAGTTTCCAAAGCCTGTTTTCCGAGGTCTTTGGTATTGAAATTTGTCTTAGGTACATTGGGGATATCTTTGACGTCAAAATCTTCAAACTTATTATGATAGTCAGACTCAGACGTTTTCCAATTTTCATCTTTTATTTTAATGTTCTTTTTATCATCAAGTGCTGAATCTCTTGGTGACCAGTTAGAAGAAGATGCAGGTTCTGATTTTATTTTTGGGGTTGACGAGTTTCTTATTTTTGACATGGATTTGCGCTCCACTTTTTCTAACTCAGCTTTTAAAGGCGCTAGTTTACTTTGGAGACCCTTAATTTCCTGATACACTTTTTCTCCTTTATCAGGTAATTTTTGAATATCAATAGACTTGGTAAATTTCTAATAAAAAGAATAAAAGAAAACATATGTACTATATATATTAGTCAATAAATAAATATCCACTTCGTAAAAAAATTTTTTTTATACTTTACATTCAGTTTGTCAAGTTTTTCCTGTAAAGAATTGATTTTCAGCATTAACATTTCTTTTTTCTGAGCTAGAATGGGATCCCCGTTACTGGTTCCAATCTCTTGTTTTGCAAAAGCAACAGCATCTTTATCCATTTCACTTTCTGATAATAAGCATTCAATACATGAACAAATCCATATTTATTGATTATTTACTTAACATGAGAACTCAAATCAAACATACCTGAAGTACTAGTAGAAAGAACGATAATGGCACTATTCATGTTTTCGTTTTTAACTGGTAATTTAATTTCATCATTAGTTAAATCCACAGGATTATTATCCTCAAAAAGTCTTCTTTTAGTTTCTTCGATTGAACCAATGGAGCTTGTAGCTCTAGATCTAACGTTCAGATTTGTTGATGAATCTGAAGAATCATCAAGTAAATCTGTGAAGTTAAGTTGCTCTGATGCCTTCTTTTGATAGACTCTTGAACGTCTACTCAAATTTTGAAAATTCAAGGATTTTTTTTTAGCCGATACATTTTTTCTTGTACTCATAGTATTTGGAATTGGTGTATTTTCCTTATCACCAGAGCTTTCACTTGAGTTGTGATGACTGTTTTCTGATTATAAAGCATAATATCTATATAGTGTATTGATACACATGTTCAAAAAATATGGTACAAAAATTTACCATCATCTGAAGAATCTCTATTAATTTTGTGATCGGTATGATCTCTGGTACTTTTGTTATTCAATTCTACCATTTCTTGATCATCAGACTCCTCAGTATAATTCATAGACTTGCCTGTAACATCTTTACCGTTAACTTCATTCATTTCTTTATCACTGTCTTCACTGATTAATTCAGAATCGGACTTTTTGTATGATACACTTGACTGATTGACTGAAATACTAATAAATTAAAAATTTACAAGTATTGAAAAAATGGTCGTGTTTTAAAAATTTATTAGAAATACTTTTCTGCTTCAGAATCAGAAATGGTTACAATTCTTCGAAGTCTTTTTTTTGATTTACGATTTACAGGAGTACCTAAAAAAATTCATAAATACAGATAAAAATTCCAATTTTTTTTTATAATGTTAGGTATTGGCTTACTTACGCTTATTTCCTGGCGTAAATGGCGATTCTGGATTATCATAAATGGAACGTCTTTTTAAATTAGGGTTTTTTCTAGGTTTTATCTCTGGTGAACTATAATTATTAAAATTAATTTTATAAAATTAAAAACTAATACACAAAAGTATGTAAATATAAAAGCAGAATACCTGTCTGAATCCGATGAAATTTCGATAGAGACTTTGTGACTAGCATTAAAAAACTCCATGTCCTCTAAAAAAGGTTTCAAGATAACGAACTATAGTTTTTTAATGTATTAATGACAAAATAGTTAAAACTATTTTCAAGTCATGAAGAAGAGTTATAAAAATTTAATTTTACAATTGCACTAAGTATGAAACATTTGACAAGAGTAAGAACAATATAAGATTACAATTATATTTGTCTCAGAAAATATCCTATTGATTTCTCGATCCAACTTATGTCTTCTAGTCTTGTATAATCTATTTTATTAGGTACCTGCACCATTAGTACTAAGATAAAATTTTTAAAATATATTACTACTAAAATTTCAGTTTTTTATCAGCTATTTTTAAAAATGTTTTGAAAATTATCAGAAAAGTGACGTTTTCATTAACGTAATAGTCAACATAATAAATTGCCTTTGAGAGAGATTTGTTAAAACAGTGGTTGAAGTAACAAATTTGTTTAAAAATTCAATGGTAAAGTAAATAAAAAAACATCCTTGAATACTTGGGTAAGTACCTTCCTCCGAGTTGACAGTTCCGCTGTCACTGCTGCGCCTGTTGGGACTTGAGTCCTTCAACACTAGATGACTGTAAATAAACAATCAAACCAACAGTTAAAAAACCAGCCAAATTCAATCACGTTCTCAGAGCTGAATAATGAAATGGTCTTACCTTTCCTCTCCATCCTCGGACTCGGATTCCCCGATGACGCGAGTGTCCATCGGCGTCGTCCTCCTGGAATTGACATTTAGCCTCGGAATTTCATCGTTACACGACTGGTCGTCACTGTCATCGACGTAAATTGAATCCTCGGCACTCATCTTTCTATTAAGTTTTTTTTTTTTCAATTCTTCACAAACGCAAATTCACAAAAAGTGCCCTCTCATTTGACACGACTGTAATATGTTTTGGTCATTAGAGTGCTGCAGCACGTGATTTTCCACTTCTTAAATCCGAGTTCAAGCACGTAACAAGTATATACACCTACTGATAACTCTTTGCTTTTTATTGCATGCAAATAAAAAACCGCAACTGTTATAATGCCCAATAACCCTTAATGCAGTTCTTGTAATTGAGACGTTAACTTGAATCTTGACGCTTTATTTACTTCATAATTACAAACTGAATAACATTTGTTATGCACGATCAAAAACGATATAGTAATATTATGAACATTGAACCGGACCCTTTGCCATGCGTCGGAGTGTCGGTTACGTCCCTATTTTTCAAACTTTTCACTGATTTTTATTGGACACAACATAAAAACGCAGAAGCGCGCGCACAAACAAGAAACAAGTATGAGTGCACAACAATCAACATATATCATCAATTCATCAGTGATTCTTCACGTATTCACGTGTACAACTTCTACCGACGGCAGTAGACTACCATCTGTACGCGAAGTTATGTGTAGTAATTAGTATAGTAATCACTACTAAGTAGTGCCATATGGTCGATTTTATTAAACCACATAAGTAGATCTATACTTTTGGAGGTCGATTTTCGGGTAAAAGATAAATTGTAAACTTGCCGCAGATAGCACAAACAGTACTAACTTTTTATTTTCTCTCTATAAGATTAGTTGCGGCTGGTTTATAATAGATAACATGGCTCTACTGTAAATTCTGTAATAACAATTTGGATCAGCGCCATCTAGCGGTCTTTGTTTTTTGGCCAAAAGTGGCTCCCAAAATTCTGAAACCGAGCTTTAGCGCGTAGAGCCATTTAATCAAGTATAAATCAGCCGCAACTCATAATGAAGCTATAAAATAAAAAAATAACGATACACGTGTTTTTGGCGGCAAGTTAACAATCTATCTTTTACTCGAAAATTTATCTTTAAAAGTGTAAATACATAGAAGGTCAGTTTTTTAGTAGAAATATAATTGTTAACTTGCCGCCAAAAACACGTGTATCGTTATTTTTTTATTTTATAGCTTCATTATGAGTTGCGGCTGGTTTATAACTGGTTAAATGGCTCTAATCCTGATTGCTCTGATTCAGAATTTTAGGAGCCACTTTTGGCCAAAAAACAATGACCGCTAGATGGCGCTGATCCAAATAACTATTACTATACTTACAGTCGAGACACTTTCTTAACTATAAACCAGCCGCAAATGATCTTATAAATAGATAATAAATAGTTGACATTTTCTATGCTACTTGCGGAAGTTTACAATTTATCTTTGAGCCAAAAATTGACATGTAAAAGTATAAATATTCTACTCATCTTATGTGGCTTATAAAATCAACCATATTCACAAACTTACAATTTACAATACCTTAGACCTTTCACGGCTTTCACCATTGACTCATGGAGTCACAGCCAGCCCTTTGACTATATGGTTTAAATCAACAGTTAACTTAAGTACTTATATGATATGTATTGTGTCACTGAAATCTTGAATAACGATCAAGCACATACGTGAATTTATCAGTCGAAAAGAGACAACTGAAGAAAAAAGGCCTAATAAAGAGTTTCAGTCACAGTAAGAGTCTCTTAAGAATGGAGCATTGGATCTCACATAACCAGAGAATGTTGGATTCTTTGTTTATTTTTAAGACTTAAAATTTCATTATCTGTAATAACAGTATTTTTTAAATAGTAAGATCCAATGCTCCATTCTCAGGCGACTCTTCGTGTCACTGAAACTCTTTATTAGGCCTTTTTTCTTCAGTTGTCTCTTTTCGACTGATTAATTTATGCATATATTTGATCGTAATTCAAGATTTCTGTAACACAAATTTTTATTGAAACAAGGAAAAACCAAATTTTAAAGGGGCAAATGCATATTTACAGTATCAACTGTTATGATTAAAAGTTATAAAACTTAAACAATTGCTTTATTCAAACATATTATCAAGATTTATGTTTCACTTTGCTCGTTGGTAAATCTTATTAATTCACAAATTTCTCTAATATTCTTCTATTTATGATGCTAGTTGAGACTTTTAACTTGTGTGTTATCAAACTTTGTTATTGTAATATTAAAACCTCACAACATGAATGTGTGATACATTGCACTGTAACATAACACTGAAAGTTTTTTAATCCAACATAGACCATTACATTAGTTTTGAGGATTAATCAAAATGAATTTATTATATAAAACAACTTGTTAACTTTTAATATATAAAATCATTTAACAGTGTACATACAAGGTCATTTAAATAAAAAATTTAATCAAGGTAGAATTGGTAGGATCAGCTTCTGCAGACTTACAATAAGATTTAAGAGCTGCTTATATAATCGTCATTAATTATTTGTTAAATGTAAAACAAATAAAGCTCCATGTTTTATTAACAAATTTTCTTTATTTTACAAATAAACACAAGCCCTTAACATAAAATTATGAATTTTCACTTTATTTATATCTTAAACACCTCTGGTTATGTGAGATCCAATGCTCCATTCTTGACAGAAACTCTTTATTAGGCCTTTTTTCTTCAGTTGTCTCTTTTCGACTGATAAATTCACGTATGTGCTTGATCGTTATTCAAGATTTCAGTGACACAATACATATCATATAAGTACTTAAGTTAACTGTTGATTTAAACCATATAGTCAAAGGGCTGGCTGTGACTCCATGAGTCAATGGTGAAAGCCGTGAAAGGTCTAAGGTATTGTAAATTGTAAGTTTGTGAATATGGTTGATTTTATAAGCCACATAAGATGAGTAGAATATTTATACTTTTACATGTCAATTTTTGGCTCAAAGATAAATTGTAAACTTCCGCAAGTAGCATAGAAAATGTCAACTATTTATTATCTATTTATAAGATCATTTGCGGCTGGTTTATAGTTAAGAAAGTGTCTCGACTGTAAGTATAGTAATAGTTATTTGGATCAGCGCCATCTAGCGGTCATTGTTTTTTGGCCAAAAGTGGCTCCTAAAATTCTGAATCAGAGCAATCAGGATTAGAGCCATTTAACCAGTTATAAACCAGCCGCAACTCATAATGAAGCTATAAAATAAAAAAATAACGATACACGTGTTTTTGGCGGCAAGTTAACAATTATATTTCTACTAAAAAACTGACCTTCTATGTATTTACACTTTTAAAGATAAATTTTCGAGTAAAAGATAGATTGTTAACTTGCCGCCAAAAACACGTGTATCGTTATTTTTTTATTTTATAGCTTCATTATGAGTTGCGGCTGATTTATACTTGATTAAATGGCTCTACGCGCTAAAGCTCGGTTTCAGAATTTTGGGAGCCACTTTTGGCCAAAAAACAAAGACCGCTAGATGACGCTGATCCAAATTGTTATTACAGAATTTACAGTAGAGCCATGTTATCTATTATAAACCAGCCGCAACTAATCTTATAGAGAGAAAATAAAAAGTTAGTACTGTTTGTGCTATCTGCGGCAAGTTTACAATTTATCTTTTACCCGAAAATCGACCTCCAAAAGTATAGATCTACTTATGTGGTTTAATAAAATCGACCATATGGCACTACTTAGTAATGATTACTATAATTACTACACATAACTTCGTGTATATCTTACACCGTACTCTCATCTTTACCAGAATGATAACATCAGAGGCTGTATTCCGCAAATGCTACTTGCAGTTAAGTTACGCAGATCGTACTAGACACGGATTTTCACGGACGTCAAAAACGCGAGCGGATGCAGTCGGACGCGTCTGTGTAGCCGCGGCCTGATCAACATTTTTTTTTTTTTTTTTCGTCCACTCGCGTTTGACCGTTTATTGATGTCCGTAAAAATATCTACTGGAGTGAGCATGCCAGCGGCTGAGAGTATGCGGCTAGAAGTATGTTGTACAGATTGGCATATTTGGCAAGAGAAAGGGAAAACCTGACGAAAAAGTTACGTCAACAATACAAGTTAATAAATTACGCGAATTTGTTTCTGTTATAATTGCATGTTGTAATAATAACCGCTTCTAATACATAAACCCATCTTATGTGCTCTTGACTCTTGACTAGAGGTAAAAACACATACCCTATATATGTTGGTGTTGCTTTGTTTAATGTCTGATTGGTTGGCATAAAGCCCATAATTTGGTTTTAATTTTGCTGTCGCTAATAAAAATCGTTTTGTTTTACGATACGTCGAAGCACATTTCTACCAAATACACACACTCGATCATTGCAGCACACTTTTGCGCGAGAAAAAGTCGCGTGAAGTGAAAGCGCAAAGTGAAACGAGTAAGTATGTAGTTTGCTGATTGAAAAAGGAAAGACCTGAAATTTTTGAGTACGGCTTTCCTTGAGAATTCCCTACTGTCGTACAGTTTAAATTCCCTTGAAATTTTCATTGAAAAATAATAAAAAAATTTTTTGAGCTAAACTGTTAATTTTATTATTACTTTTTTGTTTAATATCAAAATGATTTGTCATTCGATTAAAATAATGTACAGTGCTGAAAACGATGTGAAAAAGTGACTGGTAAATTGAAGAAATAATAAGTTTTTTCCATTTCACTGAATAAACATTCTTTATTTTATTTTATTTAAATCACTTGCAGATTTATTCTTATTTACAATAACTGTTGTGTTATAAACACTAACTTTTCTTTACAATCTCACTTATTTTATCACAAACAATAGTAGCTACAAAATATACGATTATCCAAGAAGAAATAAGAGAAGTACATGTTTTTCATTGCTTGTTGATTTTTGTTTTTTTTTTTCTCATGTATAATTTATCATCAAAGCTATAAGGAAAAAGAGAATATGTGGTTCAACTTGATTCTTCAAAAACAAGTAAAGTTATTTTTTTGTTTTACGCGGTAATTTCTCAGTTATGCGCAAAATCTTAACGCGATGGTAAGTAACACAAGTAAAAAAATTAATGAAAAGAGTTAAAGCATGAGTATTGTTGCAGAATGTGCTCAAATGTAAATTCTCAAATCGGAACGACGTTATTTATTTTTTTTTTTACTTAGGCTGTGCATTGAATCACAAGTGAAAAAGTAAAATATGTTAGGTACTGTCAGTTTACTATAAAATTTGTTTCTCTTTTATTTTATAAGGTTTCATATATATACTCACAGTTATTCACGAGCAACGTTTGGTAGAACGGCATTATGATTGCCAAAAAATAATCACTAGTATAAAAATTGACCAAGGATTTTTAAATCACCTTTCAAGATAAATCGATCAAATTTGTACAACTAGATACCAATGTCATTATGTGACAAGTGATAGATTTTCTTCAATCAATATTTATCAAAGTTCTGGTCTTTTTGAGAAAATCGCACTCTTAGATGTATAGTAAACAATAAAATTATTAAGAACAAATTAGTTGGAGCGCAAATGGTCTGTAGATACAAAATACAACGTTAATCAAAGTTAGATTTTTTCAAATACGATTCATGCAGCTCGTACGAGTCAATCTCTCATCTCATCGACGTATACATACATATATGTGCACACGATGAATACTATCTCTCTCTTTTCCCTTCTCGTTGGAACGAGCGATCTTACATGAGGTACATGGTAAACTACTGACCTCGATATTGTCCCGGCCACTCACACATGGCAGTAAAATGAAATTTGAAACAACCTTGGTACGCTTTTTTTTCGTTTATGTTTTCCTATAATCTCGCATCCAATCTCGATTATCGTTATATTTTGAGCTATTTAGAAAAATTGTTCTACGTAATACTGAAAATGATAATTTGACAAGACAAGGTAACGAAAATTGATTTATCTTGCTTGATGTTTATGATATAGAATTCAACTAATTTATATATTATTTGAACATATAGGAGTTAAACGTAACAACGATAATTGTACTCTCATTTAATGGTGATAAAAATAATATTTAAAAAAAAAAAAAATATAAAATATATTGCAAGTTTCGAGCGTTAAAAAAATATACCGTTGTCGATTTCTTAAATGCAACTATAACTCAACTAAAATCGTAACAGATCTACGTTTAATCTCGAGACAAAGATCAGACGGATATAGATAAATTTTCACTAGTGTCATCATATACTAGTCTTTGCTTATGATCTACAAAAAATACTTTACACGCGAATTATTATGTACAATTCAACATTTAGAGAGCCCGTCTATAAAGTCGCCCCGTTAGTCGTAACTCTTTATAAAGTCGACTATGTGGTCATAGAGTAGCGTTTTTGCATCTCTACCCCAGAGATAGTCGATATGGTTAAATTTTGAGTATTCGATTTTGTGCTTCAAAACAACGTTCGGGATCTTTTCAATAAGCCTCTTTACGTCGGTTGGATGAGTGAGGAAATCATTTTCACTGTAAAACACAGCAACAGGAACTGTAACTCGCTCCAAACAATACTTTGGAGGCTGTGTGCTTCCATAGAGCTTAAGATTTTTCGACGTGTCGTAATCAAACTTGCGAAATGAGTCTGAAACATAAATTTTATCCAATTAATTACAAACGCTACTTGGTAAATTTATAAAAAATTATTTTGTATACTAACCATTGATAATAATTTGACTGTAATGGATGATTTGCTTGGCTGAAGCACCACCTGGAAAGTGTCCAAATATAAGGGGTAACATTGACTTGTCTAATTGATTGCTGCCAAAACCAGCTACAAGGTAAAACCAGCAGCTGTAGAAGCTCTTGGTCAGAGTGCCTGGAGTGTTTCTAACTAACGTACTTAAAGCTTTTGCTTGCAACTTGTTTCTCGGAAACCATTGATTTATGTTACAATATACTGATCCCCACTGCGAGAACACAAGAATTCGATTAAAACGAGAGGTGAGAAATAATCTAAAATAAATTGGAGAACCATTTACGAGTAAACTTACTTCCATGAAAATGTAGAATTTAACTATAAATTTGATTAATGGACTGCGTTGGTTTGTGAGAAATGCGATTGGAGCCATGCTCACCATTGACTTGACTTTCTCGCAGTATTCAGGTCTTTCACTGCACATTACATAAAATGTTGTAGTCCCTTGACTATAACCAACATAATGTAAACTCGTTTGTTGAGTTTTTTCTAATATATAATCTATAATTGCTGGTAAATCATAGTATCCTATTTCATGCCAACTAGACGAAAATAAAATACGTTAGTATAATAGAAAATAACCATTTATAATGAATCATTCATTGAAAAAATTTTTTGTGTCTACCTAAAATCCCAGAACTCTCGGTTCTTTGTCGTGTACTTTCTGTGACATTGGGAATAAGTATTTCCTCTGACATTCACTAACCACACGTCATATCCGCTGTCACATAATACGTAAGCTAACAAAGTTGTTAAAAAACAAATTACTAATGAATTAAAAAATATGCAAGTACTACTGAATCAGGATACATAGAGAAATACAATATTTATCCTCAATCATAATAGTTATATACAAAAATTATTATTTACCAAGAGCTTTTTCAGGTCCAAGTAAAACCCAGTCTGCTGAACTTGAAAGTAAGCCATGATTCACTATTATGGGAGGCTTAATTTTAGGATTACTATCTTCTTTGGCCTGTGAACTTAGTACTTCATCCACTATTGGAACTGATGTTTCTTTGATATCAGTATTAATCTCTATACTTGATTCATTTGACTCTAAATTTCTACTATTCTTAGCTTCTGTCAAACTATTTATCGTATTTCTTTTTCTAGCTTTTTTCACTACTCTGTGTAATTCCAATCTATAACCATCTTCAGTCCATACATGATGCGTTTCAGCTACGTAACCATGTTTAGTTATGAGTTCTGGCTGTAAGTAAATATCAAATTATTATTTTTTTTTTGGTTGAAAACGATTGATGTAATTTTTGTATGTAATGATTAATTTATTGGAAATCCAATCAAAGTAATACATTTTGTTAATACCAAAAATTTAACTGATTGCATGGCTTATATGAAACCAAACATTTCTTTTGTTGCAAAGAAAAAACTGTCTACTTTATCTAAAACAATGGAACCAAACAAATTTTACTGTACATCTCACTTTAACTCGGTATCTAATCATTTGTCTCCGCTTTCGAGATATCAGGAAGCTTCTAAAAGTCAATTGGATGATGAGCTAACTTCTTGAAATAGCTTTTCGCCAACTTTAGCATCTCGAGTGCTAGAAACCTCATTATTTCCATCAACCTTTAGACCGAAAACTATGATTGTTGAAAAAAAACCATGTCTCACTCTATCAAAATGCGTCAAAGATTTTTTTCACAAAACCCACTAAACAAAATGTAAAAAAAAAAGAAGCTTTGTTCACTAGTGCGTCGTCTGTCCTCGACACAAAGAAATAATGATAGAAACTTGTTGCAAAAAAATTAAAAGTGCTCGCATTTGTTAGTATAGAGAGGCAGGCCTCCAGCAGCAAACACATGTACACGTATTAAGATGATAACACATTTATCAAAAAAACAACAAAGATTTGTATACACATGTGTGTGCTGATACTGCTGCTGCTGCTGCTGCTGACGCGCATGAAGATAATTTAAGTATACCTACTCCAGTATTTCATATCTATATTACGTTATACATTATAGTCTTTCGCGTGAGATGAATCATCGGACACAGCCCCACACGCAAGGCAATATCTAAGTATCAACCGCTCGATGATTTGAACAAAAACAGACAATGAGACTTTGATTGGTGTAATCTTGATTATGACAGATACGTGTACATGAAACAATACACATGCTAAAAGGTTAAGATAAGCACCAACAATACGTGTATGACTACACAAGGACAGCAAGTGCGCAATGATAAAATTACAAGTAAACAAACACACTGAGGTTAAAAGCAAATGTGTACCAACCGTAGTCATGTGGACCTCATCGTGATTGTCCTCATTCATCATGAGCTGATCGGGCGTCTCGCTGCTGTGTAGCACAGACAGCCTCCGTCTGCCATCGTTGTGAATAACAATTTTGTTGTCCGTCGTTGACGTAGGTGGTGAAGACAAAACCGCAGTGTTAGCCAGTGCCCGAGACGACTCGTCAGCCAGGAACAATCGAGGCAAGGCTAGGATCTTGGCCGCCGTCTCTCGACCCGACACCTGGAGCGCCTTTATAATATACACCTTGGCACCGTTCCTCACTTTTTATGCAAAAGAAAAATAACCAAAGTCAACCAACAACTAAACTCACTTTTTACATACGCGACTCGGTTTATAAATAGGTATTGTAGGCACTTGTTCTTTTTTTTCGGACACAACGAAACGCTGGAAAGTATATATATATATCGATCTGACAGCTGGAGAGAGAGCTGCAGACGATTGCGACGTATATATCCACACCGAACCACGCTTTTGTCGCAGTATATGTATACGTGCACTTGTAACTTTTATTTGCAGGTATATACCTAAAAGCGTAAAAGCAGGTAACTGTAACCCCTGTATTGTATAATTAATTCATAAAAAGTGGAGAGGCTGAACACACTGACTCGTTGAGCTGAGCAGACTATATATTATACAGAGTGCAAACAGCTGACGGGGCCTCTGCCTGACAGACACATAGACTATGGTGCAATGTTGTTAAAAAAGCAACAATAATCGAGGGCAAACTTTTCTTGACAACTAAACTTTCATATCTGGACGTGCATAGGTTATGAGATACATCAAAAATACTTTTGCAACTAATAATTATTCTCACTTTTTTCACGCACGCCTTGGCTTTGCAACCGTTTGCTCGCTTAACTCATCTACGACTGACGCACGTTTGCTCTGCTTCTTTATAACTACTGCCGCGTCGATACCTTTCTCTACTGCAGTGGAGCAAAGGAGGGGGAACGTTGGAGGGGGAACGATATAAATAAATAAACAAAAGTTCTGGTGTATGGATATAATTATATATACACGCATATAATACATTATGTGTACGCACTTTATTCGATCGAGTTTAAATGCTTCATTGTACACAGAGTTGATTCCCCTCTTTGACAGTTTCAGAAAATTTGCTGCTTGATTACTTTCCCACATGTAGTACTCGTTTTTAATTACATACAATTATAATGTAAATACCATAAAAAACAATATTTAAACTTGAAGTCAATGTAGAAAAAAATTAATAAATGATAAATTTTGGACTCGTTTACGTGGAGCGGTACGATTAAACGACAACAAGTAAACAAAAAACACGCGATCGCACGTGTGTTGCCGATGCAAAGTGTTTGTTACGTCATTCGGCACAAATCAATAAAATTAATTCCTTCAACGTAATAAGTATGCAATAGTGTTTTTTTATCTATGTTGATTTATTCGATTGGCTCATTTGAATATCATCGGCTACAGGTAAAAAACATTGAAGAAAAAGAAACAGAAAAAAAAGAGAGTTCCGTAAAAATAAAGCCCTTATTGTTGTTTTAAGTAAATATAAAGGTATCTATAAAAGTGAAAAAATGGAGGTAAATAAAAGGTGTGCGTATAAAATCTGGATTAAAAAACAAACATAACGTAATTTTTGTTACTTTATAATTGACTTTTCGAAATTTCTTTGAAAAAATTTAATGATGATCAAGTACATAATATGGTGTATCTATTTAAAGTCAAATAATTATTCGGAAAATTATTGGGAAACATAATCATCGTGTCGTTAATAAAAAAGCCGATAACCTGTTGATAAAAATCCTCAGAAGGACAATTCATCGAATAAAAATTTTAATACGTTTACGCACGACAAATAAAATCATTACCAGGGCTATAATTATGCATTCATCGTTTGATGAAAACTATATCTCTCCCGTTCATTCATTACAAATATCAAAGAGACAGAATGCCATGCGTCGGTGGTGACGAGAAACTTATACGTATATTTTTACGTAAATTTAAAAATAAGGCAAAGTAAAGGGAGGTAACATTTTTTTTTTTTTTCATTCCAGAAACGAAAATTGTTTACTGTTTCTAGAGTACAGTTCTTTACGCTAAACATATAGAATCATCGTGGAATTACGCATATATACCGAGAGAAGGTCACTTAAAAATGTTTGGTTTCTTCATTTCTTTTTTCACTTTGGGACGTGACTGCCTGCCTTCATTGATTTTTGTCGCATCTACACAATTTTATTTAAACGTATGAATAACATGTTCTGGCTTTTTTTGTACGAAAATGTCAGTAAGACAATATTTTCGTCCTACCCTAAATATGACCATCTCAATAAATACGCTTTTGATACATTTGGCTCATCGACAATCTAATAATCGTAAATCTTAATTTTGACTGAGATAAAAACTAAAAATTCCTTATATAAGTTTCGTCTTGAAAAGAATATTCTTGACTCAATGATAATTGATAGACACAAATATTTATTCAGTAACGTTTTTATCTAAAACAATTTGATGATAAAACTAGGTGACATTTATTTTATGAAAAACTAAATTTCTGATAATTAAAGCGATAAAATGAAATCGTAAAGTATAAGTCACAGTAATATATAGCCAGTCCATTATAGCCATGTAAGTAAAAGATGAAAGTGGAGAGGACTTACCGATTGGCTGTTTAATCTTCAAAAAAAACCAGTTTTTTTAATTGTATACTGGACAGCTTGCCTCGATAACTCTGCTAATCAAAGTTTGGTGTTTATACATATATTTGAAGTATATTTAAAGTAGAGACGTGTTCTCGGTACTAAATATTTATTTCAATTTCGAATATCTTGTACCAAGGTTTTCCCAAAAGTAAAAGCGAGTAAGTCCCAACCCACTAGGGCCTCGTTACTGAAAAAACTTTCTTATTGTTAAAAAATTGAATATGTATCTCCCATCGTTAGCTTTTATTACTGCCTACTATGACTTCTCTTTGCAGTATAATGAGAGCTGACGTCATCGAAATATTGAAGGGGAAACGAGCGATTGTGGTACAATAAGGGCGTTTTTTTTTATTATTTTTTTATTTGTATGAATTCAATGACCGCTTTTAATAGCGACTTTATCGCAACGCAAGCGATGGTTTTTTAATCCAGGGAATCGCATACTTTGACGCATCGTAACTGGAGCTTACTTCATTATTGCTTTTATTTTTCTCACTGTACAGGCGTTAGGCAATATTTATCAAACTATTGCTGTTGGAAATTTAGACACTGCATGATTACGACTAGGACGCGGCATTGACGCTTTTTCTCTTCTAATAATTACACGAATGCTCTCTGGAGTAAAATTAAAGATAACACTTGCAGTGCTAAGATTACTCTCGTACCGCAGAAATGTTATCGAATATTCTTTTTTGTTGCATCAGATTTGATATGTTGTTCATAAATTGCTAAAAAAAAATTTAATTTACCGAGAACTTTTAATGATTGCGCTGATTTTGAATTCAATTTTCCTTGTGTTTTCATTTTTGTGTGCATAATTTATTCAGTGAGTGCAGTTTAAAGATAGTGACATACTCACTAAAATACACAACCTTTCTCGAACTCGAATTTTTTGAAACACGATTAAGTTCAACGAACCAAAGCCCACACCTCTTCCATTAGCTCCTTTTACAAAAAAAAAAAAAAAAAAAAAAAAAAAAAAAAAAAAAAAAAAAAAAAAAAAAANAAAAAAAAAAAAAACATTGAGGCTTCATTTGGACCTGCTTATTTTATATAAGCACTCGTCCAGCCATTCCCGCGCGAGACCTCGCAAAATAACAAATAAAAAGTCACTCTCCAACTTTAATACCGTCATCGTCGCAGAAATCTCATTGTATCGCTTCTTGACGCATGATGCGAAAAAAACATTTTTTGCCCAACTTCTCTCACTGTGTACTGATTCCATTCCCTTTTCCACTCACGAAATTTGCCGCGCGTACGCGTGATTCAGCAACATATACGTGCACGCACAGCTACCAACTCGATGTGCGCACAGTGCATGGCTTTTTACCTCAACGACTACAATGACGTCAATATTTTTCGTCTCGGATGCAAGCGGCCTTTTAAATTGGGAAATAAAAAATTCTGCTCCGAAGTTGTTTATGTCACCGGTCGTCCGTCAGTTGCGCGATTACCGGTTATAGTACGAATTTTATCCGACAAACTTTCCCTCTCCTCTGAGTGTACGAGCATAAAACATTGCATCACGAATGAACGAATAAATAAATGACTTAGTCGTAAGTGGTGTACTCACGAGAACAAATATTTTCCTACAATACAATTTTATCAGTCATAAAGTTTTGAGTCTACTTGCGCAGGTGTTTTGCCAGCAGTGCAGTTCTTAAACAACAAAACAGTTGCGTGAAGCCGTAATTCGCAAAAGTAAAAAGTTGCACGAAACGAGGCTCAACATGCAGAGTCATTGAGTAATTCTACATTGCAATTTGGCGCGCATGCATTTTCGGATCCCCCCCACTTTCGTCTTTTTTCAAGTGCTCGGTAGTTTTCCACCACACGTAACGGTTGATTGATTTCTCGCAAATAATGTCTCGCAAATCGTGTGGCAAAACATGTATACAGGTCCAATCAACCATGAGCCTCAATGGATGAAACATGAAAAAAAAAAAAAAAAAAAAAACCGAGGAGTAAAACTTTATCGCAAGTTTCTGGGGAACGCCATCATTGACAATATCGTTGCGGGTAAAGAGAGAACCTCGAGAACTTGATCGGAAACAAAGTATATAGCAGCTGCGAGCAACAGTTTGATATAGGCTAAAGGACACGTAAGCACAAGAAGCATAGTCGTATGGCATGTTGGCGCGCAGTGCCCATGTGCATCCGATAGTGCCATTTATCTAAACTGCTGAGGAGAAATTTCAATGTGTTTGACACGCGTTTGTATACCTACTTATGTGCATTAAAGTTACGCAAATTTAATCCTCATTGTATAGTGCAATGACGACGAGGAAAAAATAAGCTGGGAAAAATCTTTCAATCGAATTTTCGACGTTTTTGTTGATGTTTTTCTTTTTTTCTTTTTTTTTTTGCATTGCTACTAATCGGGATAAACATGATGTTAATTTGTTTGCTTTGTGTGGTAATCCAAATCAGTGGCACCAACGGGAAAAAATTATCGCGAAATACACGTACTTCAAATGGGAAACATTTTTTTTGATCATCGTAGAATTACACAAAAGCAATATTTTTCGGTTCAAAAGTAACAGATAGGACTAGAAAAGATTATTTTTATCGTCAAAGATACGTTATAATTGGGGGAAAAAAAAAATGGATAAAATGTTCCACGCAGATAGCGCTACTTAAAAATGCACAAAGCGAATAATATAAACTCTCATGTATCACTCCCGAGAGATTTGCGTGGAGATAAAAAAAAAAAAAAAAAACTTTGATGGACTACAATTGCATTTATATTTATACGTTCAAACGTGCACATATGTATTTATACATGCATGACCGGTATAGTCACGCTAAGGGTAACGATGATAATCAAAAGGCGCTCGACCCGATATCATAAAATAAATCGGCGATATCGGCAAAGACACAATGAAGGAAAATTAACTATTCTACGTGTGCAACAGTATACAATGACGATAAAATTAACAATAATAACAACAATGTTATGTGCGCGAGAGTGCACAAGCACGGGTAACTATAAATCACGCACGAATCGACGTATTGTGCTTGTAAGTCGCAATAACAATGCATACACGTGTGTATATACACACACATATATATATATATATACATATATAATAAAAACGGCATTGAGTTACGAGTAAACAAATGTGACGCTTTCAGACAAATCTACGTCGTGGGGGGGGGGGGATACTGATGCACCACGGACAGTTGATGCGCGATACACCAAATTATCACACGATGTACACACAATTGTATGTATTTATTATTATTATTATTTTTTGTTTTTGTTATTATTGAAACGAGAGTGCGTGTGTTTTTGTCATCAAAGTATATAATATATACGCGAAACAAACCAAGTTAAGTAGAAAAAGAGAGCGCGATGATGCATCGGTCGGAGCGCGCGGGCTTTTAATCTCTCGCACAAGCTCTCCCGTTGATAACGTCATAATATATACCCTCTCTCTGCCCCTCCCACACCTATATACGCGGCTTCCGATTATTATATTTGCTCTGCGTTCCAAGTATACCCGCGCGCTTGGAAACTGTCTCTTTCTACGCACATCTATCGGCAATGCTCGCGGAAAACTTTACATCTATGCAAGTATACACGCGCATGCATAAGTGCTTCTGTTTACTACGCATCAATGATGCTGTGGAACCGCTCGCGCCTCTGGATATCCCCTACAAGTATTGTACACGAAGTAGAAACTTTTAATCCAACCTCGAAGATTAACAAAGCCGAGACCTTTGGAGTATGAGATTTTTCCGACTGCACTTTTTATAAATACACCTATACATGTTTGTTTAATTGAAATCGCTTCAATACTCACTGGTTTTATTGCGCTCTGCCTTGACACGCCGTCGCCTTGATGTTTTGTTTTATTGACTCGTGTGTTGCAATACCCGAGCGTGATTTGTTCTTTAAAACTCACTCGGTTGAAATTGGTGCGACTCAGCGTTGTGTTTTCGTTTCAATTTCTTAGTTTGAAAAATTTGATGATGGGTTTTTTTTTTCCATATTGGTAAACACACAATGAAACTATTGCCAATCACATCGGCGGAGCTTCGTAGCCGAGAATAATTAAAATCAATTTTACAAGTAATGGGCTACGCGAATAAGCTTAGATTGGTACACTCGGGGCTTTTAACGTGTTGCGTACACGAAGAGGAAAAAAACAACAAAAGCGTTTAACGCGTGAGACTCTACACGCGCATTTGTCATGGTAAAAACCCCGTGCAGTGTTTTTGCAACAAACGCTGCGGAGAGCGTTACTATGGTGTTGGCCATTTTTTGCGCTTCTGTCTCTCTCGTGTACAATAGTTTGTGCAATATTTTTGCATTCACCTTAAGTAGTTTCCTCTGCTGCAACCGCAAGATCCATTTCGTACTAATCTATTTATCTCTTTACATAAAAATATTTTATTTATTATAGTATCAGGATGTCTTATTATAAGCTGGTTCGCAAGCCTACACCTACCAAGAGTATCAAGCTCTGCATGCGCTGCCGTCCCATAGAATCGGACGGCGGATCTCCCAAACGCTTGGTGCCGCTATTTTCCTACTTTGGGGAGCCTGGCCACCTAAAATAAGAGAGCAACAGCATCACCAACGCATTGGGAGCGCTGCACTTATCAGTTTTGAGAAGCTAGCACTTCCAACTATTTTCCAGTGCATGGCTTCTGCTGATCACTCCTTCGAGGATCACTAGTGTGTTGACCCACAAGTGGCGAACCCGTTGGATGGAAGTAGAACCAAAACCAGACATTAGTTTTATTTTCAATCCAACTTTTCCACCAACTCAACTTCTGAGCGAACTAATTGTAGTTTTCCTAAATCTACAGCGTGGGTTTATAATTCGTCCCAACATTTGAACAATGTTGTCTGTTACTTTTTTTTTCTTTCTTTTTATCAGCTTGACAATAAGGTTCCGATACCTTAGACATATATAAAGAGAATTTGCGTTATATTCTTTAGTAAAACGTATGAAATAAAACAGGTGTTATCTTTCAAAAAATATGATGTTAAAAAATGGTAAAATAACTTAAAAGCGAAAATTGATATTTTCTCGCAATGTTTTCCTGTGCACATTTTCATCTCGTCCAAAAAAAAAAAAAAAAAATGCGAATATCACAAACAGCAAATTCAAGGTTCCCCCGGTCGTTCGCGATTTCTCATATCAAAGTCACGCAACGTCATAATATTTATCGAAGCCGATGTGACACGAAAGTTTCAGCTGTATGTGATTTAGTTTCGACTTAGTATATACAGTACAGCTATGCCAGTGGTGCTACATAACAGTAGCTGCGTCATGGCCAAAGCATCAGTAGTGATAAAACGAGGAAACGCATTTTTATCGCCTACCTATTGTTAAATTATCATCAGAATGTTAATGAAGTGATAAAAATTAAAATTAAATATTAAAAATTCAATAGAGTAAGGGTCAATGGAAAAAGAATGAAATATTGATATTTTATTTTTTTCGTCACAATACCTTTATTATTATCATTACTTTTTTTCACTTTGTTTTTAACTCAACTGATCCCTGAACGTGAATTCGGGCTTACTCTTTTTTTTTTTTTTTTTCAAATCTATCATAATATCGTATTATATACAAAGTCGCAGTGTGTGTCTGTGGCATCAAGTATACATTAAAAATAAATCAATTATTTATCAACGATCTTTTTTATTATTACTCTTCGCGACCGCGTTGCTGCAGTCGCTTGGGTCTGTTACATTATCGTGTAGGCGTCAAGAGGTTAAATCTTACAGTTCGTTTATTGTGTTCCCTAAAAATGCTCGTATACTTTTTTTTTGTATTTCACATTTACCTATGCTTTTTTTTTTAATTTTGTTTCATTAACTTTTTTTCTCAGTTTTTGTACATCTATCGATCACTCACCCCCCTCTCGTACACACTCTCAACATCGATAAACTTTTTTTTTTATAGTACGCTACACACGTGTAAGTTTAATAATTCTTTGAATCAGACGTTTGGGTACATGTATACTTAATCCTTCAATTTGGTCTGTCATACGGTTCGAATGCATCGTCGATCAATCAATTTTTATTAATTTCGTTCGACGATAAAACGCTTACAGTTTTTTGCCCTTATTTTCTTCGACGTTTATTTTTAGATTTATCATTGTCCTCCTTTCGATGATTTTCTCGTACCCTAAAACTAATTTCTCGCAATGAAGACATGAATTTTGACTTTCGTAAAACCGTGAATAGAGAGTTCCCTCGAAAATGAATAAACTCATTCGTCAAGAGCATTTATAACGAGGTTATCATCTAATACACAGTGCCAAGTCTCATTTTCTCCGCTGATGCTCTACTCCACTTAATTAGAACAATCGAGATGCACAACACTAGTGAAACAATGTCAATTATAATATAATATTCTCTATCAGTGCGTTTTAATAAACATAATAAAATATGTTTGATTCCGTTCCTCGATAAATCTCTTACAGTTTTTTTTTTCAACCAGATCCTCAATTTTTTTTTTTTTTTTTTTTCTGGCATAAATTATTGTGTCATCAAAAGGCTTAAAAAAGCTTTTTTCAAGTAAAAGACAATATGTAATGATTCAGGAAAAATTTACGTATAATAACTGTAAAAAAAACAGAATAGGCATAACATGTATTTTTTTAAGTTTACAAGATAACACGACAAGCTCTAAAGCGCCATGCGTAGGTGAATCTACAGGTGCCAAGGAATCTTAACCCGAGTTACATTTGTAAGCATCATATGCAAAGTTTTTCCAGCATCATAAGAGATAATTAATATCGTTTTGGACTTTGACACTGGTATAAATGAGATGTACCGTGTAATCTACTTTAAGAATCCACGCGCAAATAGTGACATGTTAACATTGAAAAGTGTTGGTTATGCGGCTGCTGATAAAAATAGTCGAGTTTTTAATTTCTTGGTTGTATTCAGTGTGTTTGATTATTTAATTTTGAAAAAATCTACTTGCTTGTCATTTTTGAGGACGACAAAACGTTCATGATAACATTTTTCAGAAGTAAAATATTTAAAACAGAACGAAGTATTGGACTCTGCAAAAGAAGCACAAAAAGAGCTTTCATACATATTTTAGATTCATGTTGATAAATTTAATCTAATTTATATATATAAGCATAACATGTACCACGAGTAATCATAAAAATGTTGATGATTCATTTTATAGCTACTTTGATTTCACGGCAGCTTCTGTATCGAGGTAAACCAGCTCGTAAACTTGTGCCGCGTGCGCCAGACATAATATGTAAGAATTTTATCGTATACGTATCGCGTGCACAAGTTGTTGCCCCCCCCCTTCCCTCGCCCTCCTTCGATAGTCATTGGCCCCATGTATGCTAACAAATCGCAAAACAAATATCATGCCTGTGAGTGCAATCTCTGCTGGTGCCATATTTTCACGTGTTGTACGATCAACATGGTATATTCAGGCTTGATTAGGAACATATTGTCGTACGTTTTTTTTTTTGTCACCAATCACCAAACAATCCTCTTCATTTATATTTATTTATTTATTATTTTTTATTAATATGTATAATTCTCACGTAACATTCGATATAGATATGCTAATTGAATCGTACATACATTGTAACTACGATAAATTTTGTTTGTATAACTTTTTTTTTTAAAGTTACGTTTTTTGCATGTAATATGGTTGTAGCTTGGCTTGCATCTTATTTTAAACTAAGTATATTATTATCATCTTTTTTTCTAATCCTACAATTATAGAGATGAATGTTGTGTGGAAATAAAATTAATTATAAATTTAACTCTGTAAACTCTCTAATTCTTAACTGTGTATTTTTTAAAATTATTTTTACAATTATTTGTTAATTTAATACAAAGGACTCGTCTAGCGATGATTGCGATGGCTCGATGATACATAAAATCTTCAACACAAGTTTTAACATGGTTAACCGTATTTTGTACAATATACATATCATATTATGATTCCTTTCGAAGGATGTACAAATATTTCAATATTTATATAAAAAACTCTGTAAATTGTGTACATCTATTATTTTTCATATTTTCTGAGGTTTGTGAATAAACTGTAACATATTAATATTCAACAGATCTATTTGTTTGGCTAAACGTTGCACGAATAAAAAATAAACCTTTTTTGCCTAGTAAAAAAATATAAGCTTCCGCATTATTACGTGAGCACCAACAAAACTATATTATTATAACCAAATTATACTACAGTAATTTATGCAGTGTGTATCTTTTATTATTAAAGATCTTTATCTATTTGTAATGTTATTAACAATTACATCATTGTATCAACAAAAATTCCTGTGACATTCGATCAAAAGCACTATGGTATATGATGAAGTTTTTACCATATTACAGATATATCATTATCCTATGAGTTGCTATTTTTTTTTTTTATGTCTCAAACACCCATCATTATAATATTAGCTACGTTTTTTTTATAGTTACATTTTTTTTTTTTTTTTTATACCTTTTTTCTTAACAAGACGACGTCGATATTCGCTAACAATGCGATAATTTTTATTTTTTTATGGCAGCTTTTTAAATTGAAACTGGACCAGAAATACACGGTGATAGCAGAATCCATCATTTTATGCATACAAAAAAAGAATTTGGATTACGTTCGAGGAGATAAGCGGATGCTTGTTTAATATTTTTATCAACGAGGCATATCACGTGTTAATGAAAAATTCGGAACTAACATTGTTCGTTGATTTCTCGTTTATCTGAATGTAGGGTCATTTTTTTTAGTCTGGCAAATTTTCCCAAGTGACAACAGAATTTTGAATAATAATAGTAATAATAATAATAATAATAATAATAACAATAATAATAATAATAATAAATTGTACCCTGCTATCATAGCACATGTAACGTCATAGACCAGTTCCACTATTATATCAGTAATATATTAATAATTAATAATTGAGTACTTTCGATTGTATCGGCTAGTGTCATCGTGGGTTTTTCATACGGTTCAAAAATGGCTTTAGATCCATTGGTGCATTTTATTTCTCAGAAATGCTTTCTTTCTAAACATCGTTCAGTGCATATCAAACGTATAGGGCCTTTTAATTTTCTCTTTACAATTTTGAACAGTTTGCGTGACACTTATAGACACAACGTATATAGAACTGGCCCCCTGAAATACATTTATTTACGTGTTCCCAATATATTTAAGTTTTTCAATTTTCGTCCATCATGTCTATATATGTAAGCAGTTTCACAAAAAAAAAACTCAGAGTGTGTATCCAGTATTTTTTTAGTATTTCTATCATTTTTTTTTTCATCTTGAGGGAAAAAAAATTTTTCGAATTATCAAAAGAAGTAAAACGTGTCTCAACAAAATTTTTTTTTTTTTAAACACAAATTATTTCTATAACTAAAGTTTTTTGGTCAACTCGCTCTTGTAATCAAATCTTTGATGATTTTTCCAAACATTTTGAATACCTATAGACATTTTCAATGCTACATTTAATACTAATTGTTTTCTATAAAACTAAAAATCGTATTTTATTAAAGAGTTTTCAAATAAAACACAACATACATTGTACCGCATATTGTACCCAACAAATCGCGAAAAACCATCAGCAATCGCAATACGATTATGATACTTACCCCTCTTTGTCCTCCACCATTATTATCATAATATTACTGTTATTATTGTTAATCAAACCCCATCACTTATTTCTATTGCTTCACTGGAAAATGATCGATCGGCCGATTAGCGCTTGTCTCAGCGTTCGTTCAACTTTATTTTTTCTTTTTCTAACTTAATAGAAGCCTGCACTTTTCGCAAACCTACATGAATGTATATACTATTTAGTATACCCTCACAAACACAGACCACACCATTTTTTTTTTTTTTTTTCAAGTTCACTTTTCATATCTTATCGTCGTGTAAATGTGCGTTTCATTTTCACGATACAAGGTGCAAGTATACGATGCAAGAGAGTCATGATAAGCATTTCGGGGCACACTTGGTTGCCACGCCTCTGCGGTTTTTCCCTCACAGGACGTAGAAGATCCAGTAGACGGCGTTGAACAACGTGAAACTCACCGGGAATATGATGCGCGAGTATTTGTCGATTAGATTGACGTCCTTGATCTTCGGCATCGAGGCCTTGAGCACCGAGGCGCCGCGTTTTATCGCGTGCAGTACCTGTACAGGGATGATTTTTTTTTTTCGATCTTTAGTTTTTATTATTATTATTATTATTATTATTATTATTATTATTATTATTATTATTATTATTATTATTATTGAGTAAAATCGCATTGATCGAAAATGAAAAGGCATGCATGGGTATTGTATCGGTAATTGAGCCATTCGTTGAAGTAAACATCTTATGAAATATTTTGAAAAAGTCAACACAGGGAAACCATGAGTAAATTCCTCGATGTTGTTGAGATATTTTAGATTTGCATCATTTGGATAAATAGACTGCCAGCAATTAATTTTCAACTTATACGTGAAAACACACCAGCTGTAGGTACATTATATACAACGTAACGAGTGAAGTATAGATCACAAAGAGTGAGATATCGTGAACGATTACAAACGTAAAATTTCCGAATGATTTTTTCCGACGATTAGGTGATACGAAAAAAAAATATTGTTAATCAATTACGCAAGTTTTTATCCGATTTAGGGATCTCAAAACAACTTGGGTATATATATCCCGAGATACGTATACGAGAGATAATAATCCAACAGTTATAATCACGATTGCGGTCAAATGGTGAGCAAAATAAGCACCAATCGATGTAAAAATGATGAATAATCATCACGCCACTGGTTAAAAACGCCAATCGCTACTCCTCCTGATTTTCAAGCCCAAATGAGAAAACAAAAAAACAACCGACCTTGGGTTTGGGCTGCCTCGCGCCCCTGTACCTCAACCCGGGGCTCTTGGCGTGTACGCTGTAACCAGGTGCTCGGGCGATCCGGAAGCTAGGGGGAAACTTGGCCGGGTCGTGGTGTTGGTGGTGGTGGTGCGGCTGCTGGTGTTGGAGCAGGGGGTCCCTGGTCGGGCCACCTGGTGTTCCCGCGACGCTGCTCAGGCCCGAGCGGTTCCTGATGCTTGGCAGTGGCGAGAGCCGCAGGTCCTGCAGCTCGATTATGTCCGCGTCCGTTGTACCGGGAAACGGGGAGTTTGCCTTGCTTCCTGTGTGCGATACCAAGGACAATGGGGGAAGGTTTGTTACTTTTTTTTCCTCCTCATCAGTCTAGTGGCTTTTTTTTCCAATTGGGGAGGAACGGTGGATGAAAGGGAGCTGGGGTAACTGAATGAAGCTTCTCTCGTGTAGGTCGGGGGATGGAAGATATTATGAATTTTTTTTCCATTGTAAAATGTATGGGAAAAAGCTACGGGTAGTAGTCAAAATTGTGCAAACTCAACGGAATGAAAAAAAAAAAAAAAAAAGTTGGAATATTACAAGTTCAATCATAGAATTGGACATCGGAGGCCGAATAACATTCAGTTGGAAAAACACGAAAGTTATGACTCTACCATGTCTATTATTTGTATTTCGTGAATGAAAAACGTTGGATTTAATCTCGAGAGTCGGACAATGAGCCACCGAAGGAGGCAATGTACTCTCTCGGCGAACCTTTTGCGACTCTTTTTAATTTTAAAATTGGCTATGTGTGAAAAAAAAGTTTTCGAGTCGAGACAAAAGACACTCTCATGCGTACATCAAGTGCTCGGACTCGAATGGTCAAAGGCGCGCGTGTCGCGTCAAAAACGAAGAAAGAAAGAAAGAAAGAAAGAAGGAGCTCTTTTTCTGGCGCGGCGCGCCGAAAGAAAGGAGCTCACTGTGAGCTATGCACCAACCGGTCTTTGAGGAGCAGATGGTCTTTTTCTCCTCGGTCTCTTTCTGCTTGCTCTTTTTCTTGGCCCGGGCGCCCCAGTAGGTGTAATTAACGGCCGCGTACTCGAGCAGCGCCGCGAACACAAAGACGAAACACATGACCAAGTAGATGTCGATGGCCTTGACGTAGCTGATGCGCGGCAACGAGCTCCTCACCCCCGTTGATATCGTCGTCATTGTCAGCACCGTCGTTATTCCTAGGATTATTATTATTATTATTATTATTATTATTATTATTATTATTATTGTTGCTATTTACTTTTAATACTATATATACACGCAATTAGATTAATATAGTAGGGAATGAAATACGGATAATAACCCTCCTTTTGTTTTATTGCAAATATGAAAGAGTGAAACGATTGAAGCTGTTACATTTTTTTTTAAAACAACTTCAATCTAAAAGGTAAAATTGTTCAAGTACAATGATATATCGTCTAAATTGAATTGTTGATCCCATGTATTATTCATTAGAGGTGGATGGTTGCGATGCAGTTGAGAGAGAGAGAGAGAGAGAGAGAGAGAGAGAGAGAGAGAGAGAGAGAGAGAGAGAGATGGATTTAGTTTTTCCGTGAGGTTGTTATTTCTCTGGGGTAAAATTGGAATTTTCAGTGAATTTTCACTTTCCTGGAAACACATGCGCGTCGACGATTTCGTTTTTTAATTGCATCTGTGATTTAAATGGCGCTTTTTTTTTTCTTTTCATCTGGCCAAATATCGATTGCGTTTATCTATTCATCATTTTGTTCATGAATAGTCACAAGTGAGTGTGTATACAACACGGGGGGTTCGCCAGAGTAATAGCGAGTCACTCCCACGAAATATCATCGCGAGGTTTTGCCTTCCTAGTCGACTCATAGACCCACAAGACGGACGCACGGCGTCGCAATGGAGTTTAATTGAAACTTTCCCAACAATAAGATTTAATTGCCCCAATTGTACTCGGACTTGGAGTTTATTAGAGGAGGGGGTAGAGGGTACATGACGATCTGCACAGCCACCGAGGACAGCGGAGGGAAAATAAATGCATTGAACGAGGGCATTTGAATCGTAAATAAATTTAATTTAAACTCCCACGGTACACCCAACTTTTATTGCATTCAGATTTCTACCTCCCGACTTTGCGAGACATTTAGCAAGAAAGCCGGACGCATTAAAATACCGTACTTTGGGTCAAATTTAATAAAAAAATTGATCTTATACTCATGAAAAAGTTTAAACGAGAGCCAAGGTACAGGGGGGAGGAAAAAACCTTTTACCCTCGTGGCACGCAACAACACGGGCTGTGATACATAGCTCTTGGAAATTTTAAATTGCCGCATCGAGGAGAGGCAATCTCGCGCCCGACAAAAAGAGCCATGCTACGCGATACACAATATATCAGGGGGTATACAGGTAAGTAAGTGTACGTGTGTGGCAAGATAGCCAGCAGTTTAATCGTGTATGTATGTATAGGTGTAAAGGCGCGGGGAGACGTACCGAGGGCGACGCGAGCGCTGGTGGCCTCGTGATTGATCCAGAAGCTGACCCAGCTGAGCATGACGATGAGAATGCTGGGGAGGTAGGTCTGGAAGACAAAGTAGCCGATGTTGCGCTGGAGCTTGAAGCTCAGCGAGAGCCGCTGATAGATGCCCGTGGCCAGTTTCTCCTTGCGGTCGTTCGTCTCGTACCCGATTATCGTGAACTGGGGCAACTCGGCCTCGTCGACGCCTCGCACCGGGGTCTCCTTCCATGCCATCACGACGTCCAGCACCGTGTAACCGTCTGTGGACAAGGACGGGAAATGACTTCTCCGTGAGTAAAAAAAAAAAAAAGGCAACCAAACGCCGATTCTTTCCCTTCGTGCATTGTGCCCCGATGATCCGTGAAATTCACGACAAATTGACCCCGCTGTCCGTTTTTTTCGCAACAACTCGCAAGCCGATCAATTTAAGCTCGATCAATTATACGCGTACTCACGAAAAAGGCCTCGGTGCGAATTTCAATTTCAATATTTCCCCCACACCCGCACACGGGAAAAAAAGGCGCTTGCTCGAGCTTTCTCCCCGTTAATCGGTGGTAATCCAACGTGCCCCCACTCGGGACTGGATATTAAAATGCATCAATCCGCGAAAATTCGGGCTCTCGAAAAAAAAGGTCTCTCCCCTCAAATGAAGTAGAACCCATCATTGAAAAAACGCCCTCTTAATCGTATAGGTGAGATTACAAAGGGCTTATGAGGCTCCGTACGCGCGTGTACGTACCTGTACGCTCGGGCTCTGCACCTTCGTTTCGGCGGGTAATCCTGTGGCTTTACCTGTCTGGATCTGCCCCGCCCCCCACCTCGCCATCACCCTTCTTCAGGGATATCATATCGAAACGAATGGATTACAGCGACCCTCCCTGTCATACAGATACACGTACAGTGCCGACCAATCTGTGATGCGTATGCTCTGGTTTTCCTTCTCTTTATTTTTGACTCGCGTGTTCCATTTAATGTAAATAACTATAGTTGGCTAAGCGGTAACACTTTCGATTGATGCACGCGGTTTCATCGTTTCTTTGTCTCGAGTGGCATTGCTTTGCCACTGCCATGCGGACGAGCCAAATGAAATCATCATCGGAATCCTATTATCTTGTTACTCATTTACTCAGCCAAAGCTGGTATAGTTTGTTGTGTATGGTATATAGCTCCCTCCCCTCCGTAAATATATAAAGTATACAACAATTGATTTCACCAGTACGAAGTAGAAGAAGAAATTTAAAAAAAAAAAAAAAAAAAACTGAATAAAAAAAAAAATGGGTGTACATACAGCTCTCGATCTCGACGGTGCAGTTCTGGGAGTCGAGGGGATAGTAGTGCAGGTCCATCATGCAGGCGAGGGTCGTGGTGAACCTCATGCCGTACGTCACCAGGCCGTCGCTCGCCAGCCGCACGAGCTTGTTGCGCTCCGTCACGTCGTGCAGGAAGCTTTTCAATTTACCGGGAAAGCGGGGCCAAAACAAAAGAGAAAAACATTACTTGGAGGAACGAGAGATACACATGGATGAGGTTAAAAAAAAAAAAAAAAAATTGGGGGGTGGAGGGTGGACGGATACGCTAAAGTTGCGAGGTATATAGGGGGATATAGTTTGTTTTTTTTTTCCTTTCCCATGTACGTACAGATGGTGCCATAAAGTTCGAGACGATCGTCACCCGCTTATGTTTTGCCTCTCTTCTTTTTTTTTTTTTTTTTTGCTACATGTAGAACAAAGTGTTTTTTGGTCTGGTGTAAAAAATAAGGGATAAATGAGCGTAGATGTTTGTTCCCACAAGGGTGCCTTAAGACAATCGATCCTCTCACGATTTATTGGCTCAAAATCCAACAGAGAGAGCAATTGCGATCGCCGATACAACAGATCAACACCGACGCGCAAGGAGATAACTGTCACACAGACGAGAGGGTTGCAGAACAAACGACGGCAGACAAAAGACAGCGCACAGAGAGAGGGGGCGTGTGTGACAAAGGATTGGCGAACAAGAATGTATATATAGGTGCATGAGGCAGGCAGGCAATTCTCTCTTGGATGATGCGCTCGAGATGCTGATGCAAAATGGAAAGGCAAGAGAGAGAGAGAGAGAGAGAGAGATAAGATAAATCGGAGCACAGGCACACGTGCGCGCGCCCGGCTGTTAATGAAGAGGGAGGGAGTTGGATTGTGTGTGTGTGTGTACGACGACGAGGGTAGACGTCGCACTTTTTGTGCCTTAGAACGCATATGTACATGTGTACACACAGACACACACGTGCACATACAGAGAGCCTTTTTCTTGCCCATTGACGGTCGCGTCTCGCATCGGGGCTCCGCGGTGCATGATGAAAAAAAAGGCGAAAAGAAAATGAAGAAGAAGCAAAGAGATCCACAAGGGGTGGGAGGGGGGAGGAAGAGCGATTGGGGTCAGAGTGCCGAGAACTCTTGCCTTTTAGAGAGAACTATTTTGCATGAGGTCCCGCTTAACCCACATTCGCCCTCCTCCTCCTCATCCCGGGCTCTGTCTTCCTTTCGCGCCGTTCTTTCTTCCCCCCTCCACCTCCCCTCGCCCGCTCCGTTCTTTCTTCCTTCCTACTCTTCGTCGTGATCCACCCTTTGTCCGTAGGAGAGGGCAAATTGATTCGGCTGCATCTGTGTAGTATAGGCGCCTATATGCGTGTGGCAACCTTAATCCGGCTAATCTGGTCTTGGCTGCTCGATAGGTCTTCCTATCGGCGATATTGTTGGGTGGTTGCGCTTTTTTTCGTACTTTGCTTTTGATTTTGAATTGGGTGTGTGTGTGTGTGTGTATGTGTGTGTGTGTGTGCACGCTTTCGGGAAAAAATCAATGGCAACGTTCGACTATTTGCAAAAACAACGAATGGGGGCAAACAAATATATATATATATGTATTCTTTCGGAAATCGCGATGAGGATCGAGGAAAAAAACGAAAAAAAAAATAGAGTACAAAGGGGGAATAAGTAACTTACCTGTGCTTGTCGTTGGCGAAAAAAGTGTCCGGCACCCAGATTTTTTCGGCGAAATCCCCGCTGAGCGTGAGAATTTCTTTTTCCTGTGAGAAAGCCAGCCTCTCGTCCGTCCAATATTGATTGAGGTACATCGTTATCGTATAATCCTGCGAACATTCGGATTCGCCCCATCCCCATTTACATAGTCCCTTCGGGCATTCGTCATCAATAATAATAGACTGCTGGTGTTTGCTAGATCAATTTTTTTTTTTTTTCTTTTTTTCTTTTTTTTCCGACAAAAGTGTTATATAGGTATGTAAATACCATCGGACACGTCTGACTATATCTGACTTTTACTACTTGCGGTGATTTTTTTTTTTTTTTTCATTCTTCCCAAAGTTTTATGATTTATTGCTTCCTTCTTCTCTTTGACGTAAAATATCTACTGAATTGTCTTCGTAAGTAACATCAATATCAAACTTCGCCCCTATATCCTCGAAATATCCCTCTTCCGTGAGATTACATATTTCGGGTTTGAATTTTTTTTCGTAGGTTCATCATTTCACTCTTTCATCCAAGTAGACACGTTTAAGGAAATTTGAAAATACCATCGAGTATTTCGACTCCACATCGTTATAATTTTACGTTGATGCAAGTTTTTGAATTTAAAACGTCATTTATGCTACTCTGTGGGGTGTGTGGTTTTTTTTTTTTTTTTTTTTTTTTGTATCTTCGGACGTGTACTTTCACAGATGACCCCATCTTATTTACTTTTTCTGCACGACAGTCATTTAATGAGATTACCAGCGTTATTGTGATTATCTATACATGTACATTCCAGCTAATACATCGCATTTCCAGAGTCTCGTACTGCTTACTACACTATACGTTAAAGGTCTCGATGAGTGAGCGATCGAGAGAAAGTTATCGACAGATCTTGTTGTAGTATTTATTTATTATTATTATTTTTTTTTTTTTTCATTTTCCTCGCCAAGAGCACAACCTGTTGACGTGGATGGATAGTACAGATAGCCACACAATACATGAGTAATCTGTACACTCTATTCTGCAGTATCGTTTGCACGCCCGTCTGTCACGTATCTTACATGTAAACGCGTGAAATTTTTATTTATTTTTTTCAAATAAAACACGCCTCAAAAAAGACCAGTAATACACGTCACTTTCACACTTTTATCTCGAGCCTATGAAGTATTCTCGTTGTTTATCACACGGCTTTTCGGCTCTACTCTATACGTATATACATCACTGAATACCGAGAAGACGGGAAATTCACAGCTTGGGGCTCTCCGATAACAGTGCAACGTGAGCGTATGATTGATGCATTGTATGTACCGCTCGGTACAACGTATACCATGCATGTTAGAGAAAAAAAAAGGCCTCTGATTAGAGCGCGTTCTCGAGGTTGAGGATTTTCGCACAAACGTAATCAGGGCTCTTGAGAGATTAGGAATATGGAACGAGCGCTGTTGGGCAACGTTGTTGTTTTGATACATAATTTACACGCGGTGATGGTACTTATCGCAGTAGCGGGGAAGTGTTGGGAATCGAGTTTTTTTTTAAATCGACGGGTTGATTGATATTCACGGGGAAAGTGTGGCGTTTAAGTCTTAACGATTCCAAGAAAAAAAATAAAACAAATTTTGTACGTCGCTTACGTCGCAAGACTAGAAAGCGAAATTTCGATGAAAAGGTCGCGAGGGCGTAAACGTGCACTGCACAGTCGTGTGTGATATTCCATGCTCTATCGTTTCCGCGAGTTTACGAATTCACGGTCAATGAAAAGTAGGTCGAAAACCATTCGAGCGAGCTTGACACCGAGAAGTGGAGCACCTACACGGAGGCCAGAGTCAATTATCGGATTATACCAGCAAGTTTGTACCCTTGCGAAGAATCTTTTTGCCTCCAGCTATGTTTTTTTTTTTTTTTTTTTTTTCTTTTTCATTGCCTACACTGCGCAAATATACAGTTTTCGCGTGTTTTTCGTTTCAGCTGCCGTCCCCTCTATTTTTCATTAAACTGTTCTGCCTTTATTTTGGTTTCGTTTCACGCGTGCACGACCGAGTAGAAATCCACTCCGGCGGACACCGTTTGACCATTTATTACCTCGGAGTGCAATCAAGTTCCCTGGACGCTAAACGCTTCGCTCGCTCTCTCTCTCTTTGCGCTTCTCGTCCTTTTGATCCGCGTGGATCGAGAAATTTTTGCCGCGCTCTTATTGCCCCCTTTGCCGTGATATATCCTTTTAAATAGTCAAACGGACCTCGAATATTGCAGTTTCTCATCAAATCACTCGTGCAGTGACATTTTGTGACAAAATACGTGTTTTGTTTACTTTTCGACACACGATACGTGGGTGCACATGCATTGAAATTATATTCCAGTAATGTTAAAAGTAATATCTGATTGTCGTAGTAAACTCACCATGTTGACTTCTGATATAGCGTCGAAACTCGCTATCGTGAGATCCATTTCGACGTACAAGGGCTCACCTTGAACAGTAATAATAGATTGTACTTCTTTACTTGTGTGTGATGCAACATTCTACGGAAATTTTCGCATTGAATTTTTGTTTTTTCAAAGATACCAGAGCTCTCAATCTCAGAGACAGCCGCACCGTTCAACCACTACACGTACAATCACATCAGCAATATCCTAAATTAAAAAAAAAAAAAAAAAAAAAAAAATACTGAAAGAACCAACGAAAATACAATATAAGGACGCGCTCACGAGGACACGGATGAGCCAATATCATCCCCTTCGGTAGCATCGCACGTGCGCCTGATTTCCTCTCGACAAGACAGGAATATCTGTATACCCATACAGTACGTGCACAGGGGCAGGGGACAGCTATGTATATACAACACACGGCAATAAGACGCGAGAGCGCTCGACCATCACCGGGAGTCACGTTCAATTAAACGAACTCCGAACCGAATGATCCTGCGAACCGGAGGCAACTGTGCGGTGTATATATATATATGTGTGTGTGTGTGTGTGTGTGTGTGTGTGTGTGTGCCTCGGCTGCTGCAAATTCAATCAGGCGTGTCCGGCTAGCAATCAAAAGATGAGTGCCGTCATCGCTATAGGGTCGTTAATCGCGTTACGTCGCTTGTAAAATTTCTGGTTATTTTGTACTTCCAGTGTGACTTGCTTTTTTTAATTTGTTTTTCTCCCCCCCCCCCACTTGATTCATTGCACGAGATATGATCGATTGATTTCAGCGAGGAGCTGAACAAAGGGAGATTCGTTGGACAGAGAACAGGAGCCACCGATATGGGGTGTATGTACAAATGCAGTCTGTACATGGAGTGACCGAGTTTGCAGGTTTTGTTTGCAGGTCAGCGGTCTCTCTGCCGATTCAAAGTTTTTTGTTGTCCCGGTTTTGGCCACATGCTTGTTCTCTTTTTTTTTTTTTTTTTGAAATCGAAAATCCCTCGGTCCTTCTTCAAGAATAATCGGCAACCCAAAGCCAATTTACGCGACCAGCGGTCCAATGGCAGTCGCGTATGATATTTCACCCAGTGGGTTACTGTACATAGTACAATAATATATGACATGCACAGAAAAACTTACCACCGAAATTCGGCCTGAGTCGTATGTCGTAGCCGTCGAGGATCCTCGAGATCGTTTGCGTCACGTTCGCCAGTCTGTCGGTGATCTCCGTCGAGTCGCTCTGCAAAAAACTGAGATGCACCGAGTAATAGTCAAATACATTCTTTTCATGTGTACTATGTATCCTTACACAAGCCCTATACGTTATATATTGTTTAATTTTTAACCGCGCCCACGTGCTCGGGAACTCTCAACTTTCGAGGACCGAATGAACGACGCGTTTTACGCACTGTGTATAAATTATCTATACCTTTTCGTTTCATTGAGACGAATTTGGTATACTTGATCTTGTAAAGTATGTAGATTTTTGTTTTTTATCTATGTTCTTGTATCGTATACTCGACTAAAATTGGTTTTTTCATTGATTAACGTTCCTTTGTTATCGCAGCAACTACCGATTTTACTAAGATTCGCGCGCAAATGAAGTAAACAAGCATATATTGGGGGGGGAAACAGCTATTTTCGTGTCACGTAAAATAATGTCAACAATTAAGTATGTAATGATTATACAAAAAAAAAAAAAAAAAAAAAACTTGGTACAAAAGAAGCGTGTATACCAGGCCACCCTGTGGGACAAGTCCGCAGCAAAGAGTATGAGCACGAGCCCACCGGCCAATAGTCCTCCCGGCAGTCTCGTCATCGTCTTACTGGCGCTGCAGCCAAAGACGAGAAACACCAGCGGCATCAGCTCACAGACGGTACCCACTGCTCACTCCTGCCACTTCGTTTACGTTCCTCCGGCTGATCTTGATCAAAGCAGATGGATCCACGGCTCCGACCGGCCTCCTGTACGAACATTCATTTCATGACTTTGGTCCAAAGCTACGTATGACAAGTGTGTACACGTATACCGAAGGGAAAACGGTACGTGCTCTTTGTTTTTTCGTGGATGAGGGTGTATAAAAACAGCCCCGCTCGCGCGCGCTTATGATTGATTAGTCGACGGTGTTTTTTACGACAGATATTATGTCGACTCGCCCTTCCGGGGTTCATTGATTTATCACTGGTATGCATAATGAGTTTATTGCTCCTGAATAATTTTTTACCTCTTATTGCTACCTTTTAGCTGTGAATGTATGGTGCGTGTTTTTATTTTACGGGCCCTCTATAGGGCTTGTTGCTTCGCTTTTATTTTTTTTTTTTTTTTTTTTTTTTTTTTTTTTTTTTT